AGGCTTAATACTCGTAAACGAACCTTATTATAACGAAGCCGGTTATGAAAAGCATAAAGGTATTATAAAACCAAGTTCTTTCTATTATAAACATTGCATTACTATGTTTTTTTTTTTTGTATTTGTTACAAATGATTAGAAACTCAACAGGGACATGAAAATTCCCGTATGTACAACGAAATGGCCACTATTAAGTTGGTCCAAGCGACTAGCAAATTGTTGGCACAACCTAGCGAACTATTTCGCCAAGAAGTTTGTGATTATTATAGTGTTAATGGTCGACGATTTTATAATCGAATTAAAGGTTACATTCAATTAAGCAATGATATGACTGCAAAAACACCAACCGGCTTTAGATCTTTAGGTAAGCAATTAAATTATGACAAAATAGAATATATACAAAACTAGTGTTTTAAATATATATTCATGACAGGCTAATAGTATGTTATTTAGTTATTAAATAGTAATATATAGTAATATAGTTTTTATAGTATTTGTACAAGTTTTTAATATATATATAACAAATGTTATTTATATATTTATTTATTTTTTCCTTTTTTATGTTAATGAATTTTTTTATTAAGAAAAAGAAAAATTATATTATATTATAATATAATAATATAAAATATAAAATCATATTATGTATTTATGTTAATAAATTTTTTCTCTAGGCGATACAGTTAGCATTTTACCAGATTTTCCACTTGTACCTGCCAGTCGTGGATTTTGTCTAGCCGTCAAAGGTCTGTTGGATCATCTGGATACTCAATTACGTTTCTTGTACGATGACAACACCATCAACAAACCCGAATTAAGTTTTGGATTCATCAACACAGAGGAACAAATACCGTTAGATTAATTATTTTTCAATTACCACAAGTCCTTTAATCTATGCTGCAGTTTAATTAACGTTTAATTTTTAAACGTTCCCAATATTATATAAAAAAATAACACCTAAATTATGCATTGCCAAAATTTTACATAGCACTTTGTTATATTCAGAAACAAATTCAAAATAATACAACAAATTTTATTTAGCATTATGTTAATATTAAATTCAATTTCTTTGAACCAATTTTGCAGTATTTGTTTTTTCGTACTTTCATTCCAATATTTATGAAAAGTGATATCAACTATTTAAAATTTAAAAGAAAATTGTTTTAAATTATATATATATTACGCTAAAACATATTATGAAACTCAAAATTTAATCTATTCTGCTAAATTCAAATTTAGCTCTATAATTAAATTTCTTCTAAACGAAATCGAATTAATTCCTTATACGAATTTTTTATATTGGTTATAACAGTATTTTTTTGTTTGCCTCTATATTTCAGAATTGATAAATAATAACAAATTTAAAATTCGTGTTATTAAAAACTATAGCTAGAATAAATTTAAAAAGTTTAAATTGTATATTTATTTTGTTAAATTATATTTAAATATTTATTTAATTGTTATTAACAATATTTTTAATCATTAAATATTAAAGTAAATTTTAAATCTAATATAAAACGAAAATATTAAGTTTTGAAAAAAACTTCACACATGCGAATCGTGGAGTAATATTAGCATGACTTTCTCGGTATTATGTTCTTAGATTAGGTTCTATATACAAGAAAGAATAATATAAAAGCATGCAACAAATAATGCCTCTGCAAACAAAATAGTATTGAAATTTAACAATTGAAAATAAAATATAATTAATTTAATTATTCTATAGCTGGCTTGTAATATCGTTCTAATATAACACAGCAATTAGATTTATTAATAAATATTTCAAACAAAATTAACAAAACTTCAGAAAAATATGCGAACATAAAAGTGAAGTACGGCTTTGGGTTAGTTGATTAATGAACGCTGACTCTGAGCTTAAAATTTGACAGGGCACGAGTTCAATTCCTGATACTTGCGCTCACAAAAAATTATTTACGAATAATTAAATACAAGAATTATTTCCAAGCCCACTGATCATGGGTATTTGGCAATACTTGAAACAGCTGCGTATGGTCAGCCAAAAATTCAATTAATTAAAATAATATAAAAAGAATTTTTGTTGTTGTAGTTCACTACTTTTCGAAAAATCTCGTTTTGAAAAAATTATACTGAAGTATTTATCTCTTTATTATAAATTTTTTATTTATTTATTATCTATTTATGAATATGTTATGCTTATATTAAACAACTTGTTTTATTTAATTTTAAATTGCAGCACACAGTTTCAGCTTTCAATATTTCGTTTGTCTTTAAGCTTACAATTATTAAGCTTTTAATCAACTAATTAAAATCAAATTGCGATACAATCATAATTTTTCAAATATCTAAATTTATAAATGTAGTAACATTTACTTCAACTTTTTACTAATACTTATATATAAATAAATTTAAATAAAATATAACTTGTTAAAATAGTAGATATGAAAGATTTTAACTATATGTATTATTATTATTTGAACTTATTATAAAAATTATAAGTTCTCTAGTAAATCAGTTTAAATATAGTAATTATAACTTTAATATTAAAATTATACGTTTTATTTTAGCTTCGAATAAGCTTAGACCATTATTTTGTCGAACATGGCTTTGCTGAAAAATGTTCGAACATCATATGCTATTCTTTGAACCTCTTTGAATTTAAACTTTGGAAGCACTATCCGTATTAATAACATAACCTCTGACATTGTCATATATATTATGATTATTGTTTTTCTAGTAAATTAATTATTATATGCTAACCTAACTAATAACTATTCAAATATTATTTATTATTTAATATAACGAATTTCTAAAAAAAATTATTGAGCTGTACGATCTAATATGTTTATTAGATCGTATGTTTAACACCAAAATAAATTATATTATTGTTATTTAAGTAAGTAGTAAATAAAAATAATTTCTTTAATTAAAAAAGTATTAATTGCTAACAATATAAACTTACTAAAAAATTATTAATATTAATTAAAATTGTTAATTATATTGCATAACATAGCAATTATAACATAACAATTATAAACAATTTAGAAAAATGAAATTACGTTTAAAAATGTTTTTAATATTGTTTTGAATTAATACATTATATAATATATAAAAATCTAAATTTAACTTAAGCTTTATTAAAAAATTTTAATTTGCAAATTTTTAAAATCAAAATAAATATTTACTTTGTGCGCTAAAGTAATTTTTTAATAATATTTGTAAAGCAAAAAATCTATATTTATATGCAAATAAATTGATAGCATATATCATTATACTTATATATAAAAAATGTAAGATGCTAATTCCGTGATAAGTAGAAATTTTAACATTATCCAAATAGCAAATAGAATACAATTATTTTATTAATAAAATCCTTGATAAAAAATTATACTTGTATTTATTTATTGTTCCTTGGCTATGATAATGAATTTGTGTTAATTAAATTTCCGCAAAATTCAGTCTAGAATTTTTTTTGTTTTTATAAAAAACATTTTTAATTTATTAAATAATTTGATTTATTTAAATTTAAAATAAAAAAATATAGATATATAAATTACAGTTTGAGTAAGAAATAAATAATTATATTGCAAAGGATTATTTATAAAAATATTTATAATTTTATAATCAAAATTATATTCTCAGTTTGGCATAAAATCGTTATAAATCACATTCATATATATGAATATATATATATATACATTACTTTATTATGTATATACATATATATGATTATGGTTTCAAGTTACTAATGATCCAATCAACATATGCTCCAACACGTGTATACATGCCAGGCCAGTTTTTAATACCACAGGGTTTAGGTCCATATGAAACAATACCGGCTGCAAAATATACATCCTTATTACCAGCTCTTGTGCGGATTGTTAAAGGACCGCCACTGTCACCGTTACAAGTGTCAATTCCTTGTCTACCACCAGCGCATAATTGTTTATTTTCGTCTAGTGTAATTTGGAATGTTTTATATTTTTCCTGACACGTTGGTATCTGCCAAGTGGTGACGTTTATTTTGAGCTTAACATCACTGGCAACAGGTTTCTCAGTTACACCCCAGCCAGCTACATCTAATAGCTGATCTTTGAAACTACTAGAACGCAATTCTGAAGAAATAGGTAAACAAATTGGTTCTACAAAACCAGTATATTGAACAGGTTCCTTTAAACGTATTAATGCAATGTCATTATATTGATCACGTGATGACCACATATAATTCTCATGCACTATAGTCTCCTCAACTTCTACGTCAACATGTGGCAATGCACACTCCTTATGTCCATTTATATCTACTACACAATCAGGATCTGATGTTGTATTCCATTCACCCAATCGTACTTTGTTAACTTCCCAAGTACCCGGAGTTTTTTCGTTTCTCACACAATGCGCAGCCGTTAGTACGTAACGTGAATTTATAAGACTACCACCGCAATGGAATTCGTACACATTGTTAGCTATAAATATATGAAAATTAATAAAAAATATATTATGATCGTATAAAAAATAGCTTACGTTTCTTGTACTGAATAAGTGCCATCCATGGAAATTCAAAGAGTGATGTATTCTGACCACCCAAAATACGATTTTCTAACGATATACCACATTTACCGGCTTCTGGTAGTACATTTCCTGGTTTTGGTACATTATTTGCCTCTGGTTTTGGCTTATTGCAATATTTATCCGCGCAACAGACCTAAAATTATATTGTATTACGTTTAATCATATTTTTTTCATAGTTCTAATAAAAATTATTTTCTCACCAAAATTCTATGTGCGGGAGTAGTAGCTGTATTGTCATAACCACATTGACTTTTGGCCAAAAACGATTCCTGTCGATTTACTGGATTTAAAAGCATATTCCATAAATATTCACAATCGTCAATGTGTATGCAGAGACCAGATTCATTATTAGGCGTTGTACAGGCGCCATAATCGTAATCAGCTATAATTTAAGTAAAAAAAATTATAAGTGGTTTAAGACCAAAATAGCAACAAATTATGAAAGTTTATAAGAGTTCTTCTATATCACTCACCAACCTAATACACAGGTTTCTATTTATATTTAAAATTAATTAACATGTTAGTTCATCTATCTATTTGAAAAGAATCTAAGTAAGGATTTTTATCATATAAAATTGTTCGCAAATCGAATTGACGATCTTCGTATTGGTACACCAGATCATCTTTGATAGTTTTTGAAATGTCATTCTACTTATATATATTTAATATATCATAATAAACATATAAAAACAACTCTAAAGTTATGAAGGCCTATCGTATAAAGCAAGGAATACCATATATGCTATATACTAATAATGGTTATAATTACTAATAAATTAATAATAGTGATTTATTATTATCTTTCCGGTATTGGTGGCCCTGAACAGTACACCTCGAGGAGTGCTTAACCTTACTTAGTCCCCTCACCACGACAAGGTAGTGATCTCCGAGGGGGTTTAAGTATAATAATAAGTATGTAAATAATATTTTGAATAAAACTTCTTCTTCTTTGTTCCGTTAACGCCCAGTAAAGCATAGGGCCTCAACAATTCCTCTGAACCGTATTCTATTTGGAGCTGCCGTGCAGATGTTGTTCCATGAGAATCGCGCTAATGTTAGTTCGGCATCAATTATCCTTACCCATGCTCATGAGGGAGCGCCAGGCTGGCGACTGCCGGGTTCCACTTTAGGGCTTGCTTAGTGATGCAGGAATTCGCTCTCGACGAATTCCTTTTCACAATTTCACAATTAAAAATGCGTTCTAGTCATGAATAAAACTAATACTTTACTGCTATTTAAAAAATTTTTTACTAATATTTTAAAGTTGTTTTCTTCATGAAACAGCTGTATGGGTCACGTCAGAAATCTCCTACACCATCGAAATCCTACATTTTGTTTTCATTCTTGTCTTAATAAGGCACAGACTTGTATCATGCACAAAATAATATAGTCTTT